ACAACACGTCAGGTACAGGTGGATGTGTGCGTTAATCACCTTGATCCATACTGCTGCGTTCGGACGTGTCGGCGCCTCCTCCTGTCGTCACGCCTCCGGACCCCTCGCTGAGCGGGTCGCTCCGGTTGACGCTCTCCCGGGAACCGAAGCGCACGCGGGCGCCGGACCGGGAGCTGATGTCCGGCGACGTGTCGGACAGCCCCGGGAGGTCTTCCGCCTTGGTGGGCGTCACCGTGAAGCGCACCGAAGCCATGGCGACTCGCTGGGGGGAAAGCAGAAGGGTTGTGTGGGATGCAGAGGAGGTTGAGGACTACCTAGTTTATCTCCCAGGTGACACTGAGGTAACGGCGTCCTCTACAATTTGTTCTTTCGCTGCTGCAGTTCTCCATCGAAGCGGCGCGGTTGGCTGCCACCAGGCATGTGAAGGAAAAGTCTGCAACCGTCTGTCGTCTGCGCCTGCGGGAGTCGATAATCCTTTCAGGTGTTGTTTGAAATTTAGTGGGTTTATAAGCGTTTTATAAGTGCTATAAATGCGTGAAGGTGTAGTGCACACACAGAGAGATAAATCTTCCCCTTCTTCACCTCAAACTGCGGTGGAATACCTTTTCTACGCTACGTGTGGGTTCCTTACGGTTGAGGACTTTACACAGCGTCTTTCTCTCCGACGTTTCTCGGTTAAACACTTCCTCTGACGTGCAGCTTGGAGATGAAGAGCGTCTCTCTACTGATCGACGGGATGAGGGATGTCGTCGGTGCAGGAAGGGAGAGGAAGGAAAACAAAGCAGAAAATTAGTTCACACAAACAAAAAAACTGGCCTAAACGTTCGTTATTGTAATGTGTTTACTTATAAAGATAAATCAGTTTAACAGCTTTACAACGCTTGCTCTGGAGGACCATAAAATACATTCTTACACTGTCGTAACTCCAGTTTATAGGGAAAATTTCCGTCCACCCATGTGCTCTAAAATCAACAAATACAGGCCTTTTTTTTTTTTTACATTAAATAAAGCTACTACTTATTATTTATTCTGTTTTTAACCCCAAAATATTCAGTTTTTCTTTATGTACATTAATAGATCTCTTTACGGGGAATTAACTAACTTTACAAACACCTTCCACAGGGGCGTTACACATCTGTGAATGAAGGTGTCAAACAATAACCAGCGTGAACCCTCGTGTGCCTCCCAGGTGCAAAAGTCAACTACGCAACTCAAGAAGTGACAGGACAGGTGGACGCACTGAAAGCTGATTTGTTGCTTCAGCCCGGTTCATAATTTAATAATTAAAAGAGGAGAGCGGTTCCAACCGGTTGTGCCAGTAGCTGCCGGCTGTTTCCTCTCGCTCTGCATGCAGAGACACGGCACATTTTCCTGTTTTATAACGCCGCCTCGCCTCACACGCTCGCGGTCCGTTCGACACTCAGAGGCAGGTGACTTGTCGTTCTTGTAGGGAGCCAGAAAAGCGTCTCCTTCGCTCCTTCGTCTCCTCTTATCTTAAACTTGCTTCCGCAGGGGAGCGGAGGAGCTATCGCAGCACGCACTGTGTGAAAAGAAGCTCGGGAAACACCCCGGAGATGTTATTAGTCTAGACAAACATTCACACACCTACAGGCAATTTAGGGTTTAATTATACAAGTTGTGTGTCTTTCAATTCAGGGTTAAAAAGGCAGAATATTGTGATAAATGTAGATTATGTGTTGGCACTTTCTTTACTGCAGCCTTTTGCTCACTTATTCTTTGCCTTTACAGCAGATGTTGGTTGCTATAAAAACCTTTAGTTGCCACTTTCAGTCTGCGCAGTAAAGGAGCACAACAAGGTGCAGAACATTTTGTTCCTCTTTCTCGCAGTTCAGCTCTGATTTCTGCCTTTTTCAGCTGTTATTTCTGCCTCTGGGAGTCTTTTTTCTACCCGGTTACACAGAAATCACGCTGTATCACTTAATAGTTGTGTTTTGATTAATTGCAGAGCAAGTGAATCCGCATAGTTTGACGTGTTACTCCCTAAAAATGATCACCAAAAACCTCCTAGTTGATGCAAAAATCAATAATCATTGATCTGCTATCACCTGGGACTTTTAATTATGCAGAAATATCCACAAGTTGTTCCACATTAAGTTCATAAAAAAGATCCACCAGCCTCTAATTAAAAAAAACCCACCAAAACTCATATTAAAACACAAATATTAAACATCTTTTGCAGTTATTATGAGTCAAAATAAAGGGAGATGGTGTCCTGCTCTTACCTAGCTGCCAGTCTGTCACGTTAATGCGGGTATAATCAATACTGTCCAGGGGGGAAAGTGTGTATATATAGCACATATATCAATTAGGATAAAACATCGTCTAATTAGTCCCAAGCAGCAACTTAAAGAGAGCCCAAATGATGGTGAAGCCTCGCTTTCTAGCCGCCACTCAGCTGCCATCTAAGCCAATTAAGCTATAATAATTCTGGCTTGAACCGGTCCGTGAACGCCTCTCGATATTAATACACAGTCATTGCTGTGGTTAGAAAATATAAAACAATCTATATTCTTTCAGATTTAAAACATTCAGGCGGATTTTTTTTTTTTAATCTTATTTTAACGCCCCCCCCAAATAAAATAAAATATATTTTAAAAAAAAAAGGAGGGGGATGCGGCATCTGTGTGAAGCTTTTGGTTTCAGGCTTCCCAAACGGGCTACACAAAAAAATAAAAAAAAATCAGAAAGGCGCGCAGTTGATTTAGTTAACAATAAAAAAAAGACGCTTTTTGGTGTAAAATAAGCAGCGTATATGTAATATTTAAGCCCCACTTCGGGTAGCTGTAACACCGGAGGAGGGTTTGTATCTGGAGCCGTTACAGTCGAAGCTAACGTTAGCCGGGCAGCCGTTGACATATAACGTCCGTTGGAAGCCTCCAACCGCCCGGCCGTTGGTCACCATAACAGCCGCATACCTGGCTCCGGTGTCCCCCTCGGAGAACGGCGTCCACCACACGGCTGTTTTCAGTCGCATCTGGGAAGATTTGGCTCCTCTCCCAGGTTTTCTCGGCACTTTTTTTTTTTTTTTTTTT